AATATATATATATATATATATATATTAATATATATATTAATTAATTTATAATGTTTTTCAATGCGTGGTCCAACAATATCTAACAACTGATTGAACATTTTTATGGACATTCTACAATAATTGTAGAACATTTCGTAATCTTCAAATTCCATTTCTTTGATCAGATTGTCACCGTACTTTGTAATAATCTTCATTTTTTTGTGAATATCGGACGCACCCACATTCTATGATGAGCTTTTTTTGGTATACCATCAGTTTCTATATTCCACACAATTTTAGTATATTTAGTATATTTTAGTATATCGTCTAATTTTCTGTTGTGGAGATTGTTTCATCTTTTTTCACTTTTGCCATCGCTTTCATATTATTAATAATAATAGGTCAGGGTCCATGATGACTTCTGAATACATTCGTACTGATTAAGTTCGCATCTTGACTTATTCGTATATATACTTGTATGTAAAGTCTCGGTTCTCCACGAAGCGTACTTTTCCAGATACGCAGATTACAAAAACCACAAATTAGTTTAGCATTTCTGTTAGAGAGTACAACAGAAGTCCTAATCAGCAATTGGTTGTATTAATTACGCATTTCTCGAAATTCCGCGAAATACGCTCAATGTGAAAGAAGGCTTTCAGAATGGCGTAACGTGTTTTAGTGAAATACTAGAATATGCAAATTACGTTTACGCAAGTTAAATGCATGTGACGAGACCCTAAAACAGAGAAAAACGTATACGTATCTAATAACTTTTCACGGATACGTGTAACCTCTTATACGTTTTTCTCTGCTTAGACTTGTCTACAATGCGTTGTGTATCGGTGTCGTGATCATAAGAATGGGCCAATCACAATCAAGTATTCTCCCCACATTCGACCGTGACTGATCAATCTTGTGGCTTGCGGTTTGCGACACTGACACACGACACATTAATAGGCCTTAACCTACGTCTACGTTTATGGCTGGTACCCCATGCAGCGTAACTTGCGTAAGCGTAAACTGCATCATCCAACCAAATTGTCTCAGCTACTCTATATAAATCGGTCTAGACTCTGAGTGCATTCGTTTATGCAGTTACTACCGCAGATGTCGTTTGTTTACTCCATCTGCGAAAGTGACTGCAGTGCAGTTCGTCGTTCGTTTGGATGTATCGCATCTGTGCAACTATCTCGGAAGTCCTGCTTTAAATGTTCTGCTTGTAGTACTGCGTAAACGAACACCGAAATGAATTTTATTAGAATAAGAAGCAAAAATGGTCAGAAACAAATAATTGATAATAAAGTAAAATAAGAATAATAAAATATAATTAAAATAAAAATAAGAATAAAAAATAAGAATAAAATAAGAAAAAAATAAGAATAAAAATAAGAAAAAATAAGAATAATAAAATATAATTCACAAAAAATTAATATCTAACTTTTAAGTAAAATTCATAGATTAAATATTTTTTATAATATCCATTATTTATATCAATTAAATTTAATATCAATAAAATATTATCTTTTATACAATAAAAAAGTTTTATTACATTTTAATTATTCGAATATAAATTTATGTATAAAATTGTCTCTTTATTTATCATTCAAACAATCGGCTCAATTTCTATTGGAAGGTATGATCCGTGCAGTTATTCACGCAGTTATCCGTTCGGTAAATTTCGATCACGTAACAAGCAGATGAGAAAGCAGGATGCACAAAATACTGCGTAAACGAATGTACCCTTTTATTAGATTTATTGGTTGACGCAGCTTACGCAAGTTACGCTGCATGGGGAACCATGCCCTACGGTACACGTAAGCGCTTACGTCTCGTT